CAACAATCCAAGGCTACCACCTTTTATTTGATTGTGATTATTTAAATCGAAAGTCCCCAAACACCCTCTCGTGTACTATTTGACTTGAACTTTCCTTTGTGATTTAGGGAAGGCAGGTGTTATTATCCTCATTTTACAGATGAGGACAATAAAGTTTATGAAGAGGTAACCTCTCCAAATCAAGGTAAGTCTGACATAATCTGGCTTGCTTGGACTGAAAGCTGCCCATCCCACTCCAGCGTGCTCTCTGCTTCTCAGTGGCAGAGACCATCTCGGTGAGGGATCAATTAGCTAGGAAAGCTGTTTTCCTTCTTTCTTTTTCTTATCTTTCTTTTTTTTTTTTTTGTTTTAAATAAAGCCAAAAGGACAGTGACTTAAAAGCACGAATGTTGTGTTTAATTCATTCAGATTCAGCACTAGGATAGAAGAAACTCACACGTTGCTGTCTTTTTCTTTTCTGGACTCAAAAATGGAAGACTCACTCCCATCATAACCAGCTTATTCACAACCTTGAGTCAAATGCAAGTTAGGGGTTAGTAGACCCAAATGCTAGAAAGATGGGGAGCACAGTCTGCACATACGATGCCCTCAAGAATGGGCCAGAACTCCTAAACGGCTTCTGTAAACACAACCCCCTCTTCTAAACTTCTATTACTACTTTCCCAACACCCAGGAGCAACACACAGACTCTCCTAGAATGATTAGTTATTGCTGTTGCTCCGGGGCAGAAATGCTTGACACCTGGCCTCCCGAAGGCAGCCTGCGTTGGAGGATCCTGCCACATTTCCGCCCTTTTGAAGTTCCCAGGGCAGAGAGAGGCTGACCCCGCAACTTACCTGGCGGGGATGCTCTGGCGGGGCAGTTCTTCGTGCCAGCCCAAGACCTTCGGGGAAGAGAAGAAAACAAGACAAGACAAAACAAAACAACTTACCACCTTGGCCCAGTCCAAGAACAAGTGAGAACACCCAGGCCGCCCGGAGGAACGAGGCAGGACCTCGCCGGCAGTTCTGCAGGCAGACCAATGCAGCGGTAAAAAAAGGCAGGGCCGAGCCGCACATAATGCAAAGCAGCCCGCCCCACGCCCGCCGCCCGGCTGCGTTCCGGACGGAGGACGCGCGCTTGCGCCTCTCGGGCGCACCTCGGGGCCTGCGAGCCAAGTGTCGCTAGGACCGTTCCCGCAGGCCCGGCAGGCGGACCCCGCGGCGCGGCGCGAGCGGTGCGGGGACGCGGGCCCGGGCGCCGCTCGGCATCTCAGGGCCCCGGCGGCCCTCGCGGCTCGGCACGGCGGGCTCCGCGGGCTCCGCGAGAAGCGCCTCCTCGGACGGCCGAGGGCTCGGGGCGGCGACGGGGCGAGGGCTCCCTAGCCTGCTCCGGGACAAAGAAAAGAGCTTTTGTTTCTCTCCAGCCGGTGGGGCTTCTGCTGCATAAATCAGCTTAGCGAGGAGCCAAACACAATCAAACCCAAACAAAGCCTGAAGCTGGGGGGGAAACCACCCTAATGTACATTCACTGGGTGATGCTGCCTCTGTGGGAGGGGACGCCGGCGAGGCCGAAGGGGAAAAAAAGTCGATGGCGCATCGATCAGCGCGAGCTTCTTCCACAGGTGGGCAGAGAGGCCAACTCCGCTTAGTTGCACTTTTGCAGACTCGTCGGCGGGGCAGCGGGCAACGACAAGGCGGCAGCGTCCTGGCTGGCGAGGGAGGAAACTCGGGGTGCCAGCAGCAGGGGGAGGCGGCTGTGGGAGCGCCCTAGAAGCACCAGCCGGCACCCGCAGGCACAGAGCGAGGCATTGCGGCTCCCTGCCTGGCGGGGAGTGGAGCGCACGGCCGCCAGCGCAGGAGGGGAGGTCCGCGGGGGTGCAGCAGCCCGGCCCTGCAGGGCGAGGGCTTCGTACCCTTGTCCTTTTGGCCCCAGTGCGCGGCTCAGGCGTCCTGCTGCCCAGAGCCTGGGCAGCTGGCGCGCTCTGGGGTGCACCCAGCGAGGACGCGAGGGAGGCGAGGCCGGTGATAGGCGGGGGAGAGGTGGTCCTGCCCTGGCCCCCCGGGGGGCTCAGGACCTGCTTGTAGCTGGGCTCACACCCGGCCCAGAGTTGCTAGGAAACCGCCCCACGCTCCCGAGCGCCTCGCCCCGGAGGCCGGCAGGCGCGGCGGCGGCCCCGGCGGCAAGCAGCAGCAACAGCTCGGAGCAGCGTGGGCGGGACATTGGTGAGGCATGAAGTCACCGCGGCCCACACTCGCTCTTTGTTTTGCTCACTCTAGCTCTTTTTTTCCCCCTTGGCTCTGATAGTTGCCATTCCTTCCCATGGTTCAAAAGAACTGATGCGTAGCCGCGCAACAAGAATGGCACGCTGCGTTCCCTTCTCCGTCCTCCCCCCGATTCCTTGCACCCCAGTGCTCGCCTAGCGAGTGTGGTGGGAGACTCGCTCAGCACAGGCGGCAGCTGCGAGCAAACCCCAATCTCTCACCCCCGCGCTGCGTGCTGCTTTGTTCAGAGATACTCACTGCCCCGCAGCTGCTGCATACAAAGTGGAGTCCTGGGGCCTCTCCCCGCCCCCAACACCCTCTGCTCCGGGAGTGCGCTCTGCTCACTCCGCTTGCAGAGTTAAGAGCCCGTGCTCTGCTTCATCGTAAGGCTGCCCGGCGGCTCCCCGGCCCTTGGAGAATTGGACCAGTCCGCAGGGGCTGTTCCCGGAGTTACTGGCCCAGATTTCTCGCTGTTCCTTCTCCAGTCGGAGCCTCAGTCCTTGGGTGAACAGTCCTGCCTTTCCCCCAAGGTCTGATGGTGGCTGCGAGCCTTTGCTCCTGACAGTGGGTCTTTTGACTTTAAGCGTCAGTTTCTCAGTAAACGGAACAAAGAAGTTACAGACGGCAACAAAGCGGGAAGGCAGAAGCCAGGGAGAGGAGGTGGGAGGGCATTTCTGCCTGCTTTGCAGCTCAGACATTTAGGTGCAAGCGGAGGAGCAGCGGGTGTCAGGCTGGGCAACTGTCGGGGAAGCGGCGCGCCTCCTCGGGTCCTGTCACTACCATGCTAAACCGAGGGAGGGAATCCAGTCCCCCGCATCAGAAACAAGGCACTCTTCCCGTTTGAAACATAGCGATGGTTCTCTTTTTCCTCTAGGGGCAGGAGTGCTTGGGCTCCCCGTGGTGAAGTCTGACCTCTCATTTTTCCCCTGACAGCTTACCCCACATCTTTAATGAGCACCGCCTCTTACAGGCATCAGACCCGTCCAGCCAGGTCAAGGTGAAATATGTGGGAGTTTCCCTCCTTCTTATTTGTTTGATAGGTTCCGTCTCCTTAATTGTAGTAAAATACCAAGTAGGAGTCTCTCTCTGTCTCTCTTTTTTTTTCTTTCTGTTTTCTAATTGTTGACTGAGTGAATGGAAAGTACCTAGTTAATAAACCACAACATCGAAAACTCCCCCCCTTTTCAGGTGTGGACTGCACATTGAGGCAATTAGCTAGCAAACCAGGAACCCAGTTGGAAAATTAAAAGTACCCTGTATCTACAATGCAGGTCTTTTTGAGAGAGCAAAGGCATGACTCAAACCTTAATTTATACTTGTGAGCACATTCTATAGGCAGTGTCCCCTTATATAGAATTAAATCCAGTTCAGCTTCATTTTCTAATTTTCTTGCCTTAGTTCCGAGTTTGAACAGTTATGGTTTTGGTTTTGTTAGTCTTAAAGGAAGGGCCTAAAAAGTAATTGGGATGGGTGTGAAGACTTGAAAATTTGAACACAAAAGTAACATAATCGAGATATGATTAGTGACTCTTCAATTGGGCAGCATGTTTATGTTCCAGACATTGTCACAGGTCTACAGAATGCAGCCCTCCTTAAGACAGTGCAGTGCTGCAACAAAGAAAAAAAATTAAATCCCTGATTTCCATAAGGATCCATAAGAGTTTCATGACATGTTTTAAAATCTAACTCTTGATGCAGTAATACATAAAGTATAAACTTGCACAAATAAGAAAGGATGTAACTTTGTGAAACTGATGAGATATGTACTAATTTTTGTAACCCTACATTTTTGGGTGTTGATATGTTGTACATACTAAGCCAAAACAACTGTGGAGCAAGAGGAATAAAATGAAACTCATAAATCTGTTTCAGGAAATTTTCAAGCCCTTTAGAAAGAAAGATTTCTACCTTTTGTTATATGAAACACTTGCAAAAATATATGCCAGGATGCCAGTTTCATGGAGTTGTCGAAGAATAAGCACAACATTGTTTATTGCCATTTCCCAGTGGTAAAGAGGTTATAACTCTGGTTATCAAAGTAAAATAAGACAGAATATCCTAGTTGTGAGACTGTGATGCCTGCAAGTTATTTACAAGCAAGTTGTCTGTACATTTGGGCTGTAAAGATAAAAGTAAATTATCCCGAAACCCTGTGAATCATCTGTAGGATTTTCTTACAGTAAATATAACTAGTGGCCCAGGAACAAAAAGTTTGCTTGTGTCCAATAAATGTCACTGGTCCCCATAACTCATCTTTTTTCTTGTAAGAAAATGTACAGCATATTGTAAAGAAATGTAGTATTGTTATCTTCATCTCATTACCTGAAGAATTCTAACAGAGAAAAAGTGTTTTAGAAGATGATGACTTGATTAATTTCAGTTTTTCTATCATGTTCTGCTGTCTTGCTTTGAACTTTCTGACAGCTAATTTTTCATCATTTGTGGTAATGAGAGAAAATGAAATTCACAGATAGTCTAAAAATAACATCTTAGTTATTCATTCCAGCCTTCCTATCATCAGATTCTTTGAGTTGCTAATAAGTCACAAAATTAGATAACTTAAATTTCTTTGTCACTCCTTTAACCTTGACTTCTCACTAAGTCAGTTTATGGTGAGACTGAATATAGGTAGGTAGCAGAAGTAAGAGAGACATCTGAGAGACTGCTCCTTTTTTTTTTTTTTTGACTACTTTTTCTTTTTAGGGAGGGGGTCTCTCTATGTTGCCCTGGCTGGCCTCAAACTCCTGTGCTCAAGCAATCCTTCTTCCTTAACCTTTGGAATAGCTGAGACTATAGGCACCTGTCACTGTGCCCAGCTGTGACTGTTCAGATTTTAACTAGATGTTGTGTAAATTATTGACCTCAGAGTTTCAGCTAAAGCCACATTCACATGTTAATGTTACATATTTCTGAAGTTGGGATCAGAGCTATTCAGTAAGTTTTGAGGGGATGTTTACACATTGTCTGTGAACTTGCTTCATCTATAACTTTCAGATGATGATGAATGGTCTGACCAGTGGGATATATTATTGTGACTATGACTTTTTGCTTTTGCCAATGATAAAGAATATAGTCCCCCTTTCACTGATAAAACAGAGTTTCTCATACTATAGACTGAAGACTGCCTACAACATAATCACCTGTGGAGTAATTCTGAACTCTAATTCCTTGTCTCCATTCCAGAAGATTCTGAATTGGCAAACCTTGTGTGATGCTCAGCAACCTGCATTATGATAAGCTCCTCAAATGGTTCTTATATGTCCTGAAGTTTAAGAACACCCTATTATAATGGGTTAATTCAAAGACTCCTCAAAGGCCTCAGGAGTGTTTATTGATAAAGTCCAATGTCAGGTGCAAATTCAAAGATAAATGAACTGATGGATCCAATGTCTCTTGCCAAAATAATCTATGATGACTGAGTCTATGAGATGTTAATGTTTTCTGAAACAAGACTTCTGTGATTAAGCTTGGGAAATGCTGGGTTAAAGTCAAATTAAATCATTTACCAGAGGAATTTCCAGAAACTCTAATAGGCCAAGTATGCAATTAGATTCTCCATAGGAAGAATCTTTTATTCAGGGAACATCTCACAGACTAATTTCCCTTGAAGCACACTGCTAAACTAGTCCCATTTTACAATTGGGAAAACTGAGACCAAGATTGGCAAAGAAACCGACCTCACTTCAAGGAAATTACTGAATAGGGATGAATCAGAGCTCTGATTCTTCACCTCATATCATGACAACTTTTGGTTTCCATTAATAGAGTCAGATTGTGGCTGTCCTAAGTAAAAAAGGAAATTATTTGGGGGAAAATGGGAGCTTACAGAATCAGCAGGAAGCTGGGAGACCAGGTGAATAAGGCCAGAAACCAAGGGAGACATAAGCAAGTACCAGTAAGTGTCTTAGTCACGAGAATGAGTTCTAATCATCCCTTCACTTTGGACCACTTGCTGAAGATTCAGAATCCTGGTTGGGAATATCTAATTTTCTGAACTTCAGAACTTAATGTAAGTACCCTGGCTTTCTGGGGATGGAGAAAGAGTAGGAGGAGCTCATCTTTGGCTTTCTTAGTAGAAAATGTGGATACTTTTGAATGAAACATTTTATCTGTGCATAATCTAATCCTAGACTCCTGTTATCCTTTTTTAGTATGCAGTAAACTAATGCTTATTTAGCTTTTTACTCATTATCAGAATGATTGTAGAGATGTAATGGTTGAATTAATTTCTTAGTTTTGTGAAATTCTTTATTGACCCAACCCAAGTCTGTAGCAGACACCATCAACGACCTCCATATGTCTGTCCCAGCTCATCACTTTATTGCACACAGCTAGAAGTGTGTGCTGGAAGTGCTGGGAATGAATATTCCTGGATACTGTTTCAACTCTGTACTGACTAGATGGGCGGTGACATGTAACTACCCCAGTTCCCCTTGCTCCATGTATGAAATGATTTGGGCCTTGTGTTCTACACTTTTTTGGACTACTTTTGCCTTTTTTATTTTTACTATGTCATGGATTGATACTTTAAAAAAATAAGACAAAATGAATTATTAAAAAAATGTATGTCGCAAAAATGTCATAATAATGTATTTATACTATTAATTTGTATGCATTTTTCATCCTGGATCAGTTTCAAACAGTAGAAGGACTGGTACTGTTACACATCCCATTTTGAGGAGTATGGAGCACCATTGCTTCAAGTTACCCTGTAGGAGTAAGCTTTGGTTGCCCACAGTGATAATTGGATTCAAACATATCAGTCGCTGGCTGCCTTTCCCTCCCTAATTTCCCCTGGAGCCTTGGTTTATTCATTTATGACCCAAATCCAAAACACTGACAATATCAATTGCTGGTGAGGATGTGGGGTGAAAGTATTTTCATTGCTGGTGAAAATGCAAAATGGTACAGCCACTTTGGAAGACAGTTTGGCAGTTTTTTACAAAACTAGATGATCCAGCAATCGTGTTCCTTGGTATTTAGGAGTTGAACACTATGTTCACACAAAAACCTGCATGTGAATATTTCTAGCAGCTTTATTCATAATTGCCCAAACTTGAAAGCAACCAAGATGTCCTTCAATGGGTGAATGGATACATAAACTGTGGGACATTCAGACAATAGAATATTATTTAGCACGAAAAAGAAATGAACTAGCAAGCCATGACAGACATGGAAGAAGTTTAAGTGCATAGTACTAAGTGAAAGAAGCCAACCTGAAAAGGCTATATGCTGTATGATTCCAGCCATATGACATTCTAGATAAGCAAAACTATGGAGGCAGTAAAAAGATCAGTGGTTGCCTGGGGGAGAACAGGATGAATAATACACAGAGAACAGAGGACTTTTAGGGCAGTAAAACTATTCTGTAGGATGCTACAATGGTGGATACATGTCATTATACATTTGTCCAAACCTATAAAATGTACAAGACTGAACCCCAATGTAAACTATGGACTTTGGGTGATAATGATGTGATAATGGTGTGGTAGGTTCATTGATTGTAACAAATGCACCACTGTGGTGTGGAATGCGGCTATGCATATGTTGGGGCAGGAGGTATAGGAGAACTCTTTGTACTTTCCCCTTAATAAGCTAAGACTGCTCTAAAAAATAAAGTGTGTAAAACATAAACACACACAAAACTACCCAATAAGACCATTGTGAAAATCAAAAGAGAGATCATGAATGAAACATGCTAGAATTCATCATATATTATCCCGAGGGGTTTTGCAATGGTAATTGGGATTATTTTTAATTTCATAATATAAACAGCATTAAAAATACATGAATACTTATTTCAAAACTTGCATATTGTCATAAAAATAACATCAAATATCTTTGGATTTGCTGAATACATAACTTTCCTTTTCTGGTAACTATACAATTCTTTACCCACGTTAATAGATGTAGTGAGCATGTCTTTATATAGAAGTCTGTAATCCTAGCATTCTTTATGACAATCTAGTTTTATGTCTCCTTAATCAAACAAAATTGTTCCGCAATCTTTTCGGCCTGAAGTCATCCTTGTACAGTTTGATATACAACTACATGAAAGCTTCACTTAGTTGTACATGACAGGGTCATGTATATTTAATATTGCCTTTTGTTTTAAATTTAGCATGTTTAAACTTACATGTAGTTAGGAGGGTAAATGAATATGTAATAAGCATTAAATGTTATTGCTTTATTGCTTAGATTTCTAAAATGACAGCAGTGTTAAGGGCCCACAGCTGGTTCTCTCATGTAGAGGTATCAGCAGACAATATAAAGACAACATTTCACCATTGACATAGTTCATCTGTTGAGCCACCGTGGTATGTGGACTGATTTGCACATCATTACACAACTAAAGGACTTTCTGAAACTTCAATAACTCAGAGTGAGACCAGGACTAAAATTCTCCCTCTCAGCATTTTCTCATGATCACATAGCCTCTGGAGAGTGAAGTCACTACAAAATTTAAATTATTCTAATCAAATTCACATGGAATTTTTATATTTGGAATACTGCCATTCTCAGCCCCTTTCTCCAATTTCAAAATTACTTCATGTTTCACCTTGAAGAATGTGACCTTTTAGCATAGTAAGGAAATTCCTCGTAAATCAGGCACAGGATATTCAATTTAAGCATTCGTTTATTAAATATATAAACATTAATTGAACATTTATTATGTGTAAATTGATAGGCTCTATGGAAAACGCAAGCATCAGTAAAACAAACCCCTTTTTCTCAAAGATATGTTAACCTGATTTGGTAATAATATGTAATAATAATAAAAAAAGATGACTCAGTTGGTAAATTGTTAATTGGGACAGTTCAGAAGTAGACCCTAATGTCAATAATAATTTAATATAATGTAAAATATGTTTTAAAAATCAATTAAGAGACGATAGTTTAATAAGTTATGTTGGGAAAATTGTTAGCTATTTGGGAAAAATACTTAAATTTATACCAAAATGCATTCATGATGGGTGAAAAGACTTAGTGTAAAACTACAATACTATACATGTATTGTTAATAAAAGTTCTTTCTAAATGTAAAAACAATTTACCCAATTTCAAGACAGCAAATCAAAAAATTAGATGATTTTTTTAAACTTTAGGTATTTGTAAACATTGCAGAAAAGGGTAAAATGCATACCATTGAATATGCTCTTACAAATGGATAAAAATATTTAGTCTACAATAGATAAATGTGTAAAGAAGATAGCGAATATACATACTTAAACACATATGGGAAGACTCCTGTTTCACTAGTTATCAAAAATACTAATTTAATAAATGAAAAACCATTTTTACCCATCAAATGCTCAAGGTTGAAAATAGGCACCCATTTATAATAGAATTATAAATTCTAACTTTTTTTCAGTCAGTTGGCAAAATGTAATAAAATATTTAAAATATTTGAAATGCTAATTTCATATCTGGCAAGTTAATTCTTAAAAGATTTATAAATATAAGAAATTTATTTATAAAGATATAAATTTCAGCATAATATACAATTGCAATTAAAAAGGACAATAATACTTTTGGTCATTTGAACCCTTTTCAAGCTAAAGTAGCAGAGAAGATTATCAAGTTTTTAAGTATACCCAAGATACTATAACTCCCTTATTTTGTTAGTTTACAAATTATATTAATCCCACCTGACTGAAGTGTCTACAATCTTTTCTTTTCTTTTTACTGTCTTCCTTCCTTAATAAAACTCCTTAGTTCAGGCTTTATCATTTTTTTCTTCTGGAACTCTCAGCCGTTCCTTTTCTACAGTGCTAGAATAATTTTTCTTCTAAAACAAAAATCTACATTTGATATACTCTTCTTAAACTCTTGTATGGTTCATTTTATGCCAGTCCCTGACCTCTCTCCCAGACCATGAAGAGACCTTTAGCATGAACTATGAAACCTTGGACATTCTGACCCCAAATCACATTTCCTGTACTCTTTTCTACGAAATCCCCTACCCCTTGTCAACTCCATCTAGCCAGTGTTCTGCAGAACAGAATCCTGGTTTTCTGCACACACTTTCACTTGCATTTTCATAGGCTTCATTTTTAGCCAGACGTGTTTTTCCCCTTTTTCTTCTCATTGTCCTACTTGATTGTCAAGAATAATTTCTAATACCACTTCTACAAAGTATTTCTAGATTTCTCCAGATATGATCTACAATGTCCTTCACTTTTAAATCATTTTTTTCATTAAAATAGTAATTAATTTTTATTATAGAAAATTTAGAAAATTGATTCCATTTTCATGATGAATTTTATTTGCTTTATATTTATGTGCCTGTGTTCATATGGACTTACCATTTTTTGTTGTATTATTCATGAATATCTTTCTAGGATATATATTATTCCATACTGAGTTTGTTGCTCAGTATACTTGTTTTTTTCTTTCTTTTTTAAAAAATTTATTTCAGAATACTATGGAGGTACAAATGTTTTGGCTACGTGGATTGCTTTTGTACTGCTTAAGGCAAACTTATAAGTGTACTCACCATCCAGATAGTGTACACTGTACCAGTTAGGTATGATTTCACCCATCTCTTCCCTCCCCCTTCTACCTGCATGATTTTCGTTGAGTTTTAGTTCCATCTGTGCACAGGAGGGCTGTTAGGTTAGTTCTAATATAATAGTGAGTACATGTGGTGTTTGTTTTTTCGTTCTTGCAATGCTTCACTAAGGAGAATGGTCTCCAATTCCATACAGATTGTTACAAAAGGAAATAATTCATTTTTTTTTAATGGCTGAGTAGAACTCCATGGTATACATATACCACATTTTATTAACCCACTCATGAATTGATTGGCACTTGGGTTGATTCCACATCTTTACGACTGTGAATTATGCTACAATAAACATTTGGGTACAAGTGTCTTTTTGACAAAATGACTTTTTTTCTTTTGGGTAAATACTCAGTAGTGGGATTGCTGGGTCAAATGGTAGGTTCACTTTTAATTTTTTGAGGAATCTCTGTGCTATTTTCCAGAGAGGTTGTACTAGTTTGCAGT